CAATGATAATCGATGTACGATTAATTCTTTTGGATGATTAGAATTAAATTTGTTATTAATTAATACTCTCTGAACATTGATGGTCGGGTTAGTTTGAACTCTTTTTTTATTTACTAATTCTAATACTTACAAGATATCACACTATATAAGTACTTATAGAAACTTAAATTCTGAAAAGTAGAAAAATGACCAATGAAAATCTACAAAACACTTAGTATTCTTCAATATTACTTATTAAAAAATGGAACATTGCGCGAAAATATTTTTTCTTAGCTTAATTAATATATTTTTGACAGAAAAATTTGAGCGCTATCATAGCGAACAGTAAAAGAAACTTATCGACTATTGAGAACTTTTATATAAACTAGTGGAAAGAAGTTTAACAACAACTATATTTTTTATATGTGTTTTGTAGGATATAGTAGTATAGGAGTTAATAATTATCATCAATAGACAAGAACTATAACTTCTTTATTGAACTTGACAACACTGAAAACTCTTCCTGTATTGTACAAATAAGATATTTTTTCAAACACAGCAAGAAAATTGGCTATCAACGAACTAAAGATTAGACGAGTTTTCAAATCGAAAATCTGCATCCTCTATGTTACAGTTTTAGGATTTGGTGTATTCCTATTCACCACTATATTAATGAGTATAATGAATCGAGAACAGTGACAGATACATTAATTTGTTAAAAGAAAAATGGATTGTGATCATGACATTAATTAATATGTGAGTTAATTATGATACAAGAAAGCTTTGCCAATTATTTTTTGAAATATATTTTCCCGAATATTTCATAGCATGACTGTTACTTAGTTTGGATCTGAATCTAGTAGAATAAATTCCATATCATGCAATTAAAATAGTTGTTTTCCTTACTAATTATCTTTGAATGGATATTTTATAATGTTTCTCAAATATAAACATATCAATATTGACATATTTTAAGTTGTAATTTTACCAAAGTGTGTATTTCCTCAATGGATTTGCTATTCATTTTATGAGTTTATCTCGATCGATTGACATTGAAATAGTGAGTTTTAGCCCCTGTGATATTTTCTTTTATCTTAATTGATCGGTTTGTTCATTAATATAATAATAAAAATAATTTTTTAGTAATCAAAAACTGTCAACTTGTCTAGTATTCTATGTTTACTTATTATAGTGTGATATTTATTCTCGAAACAGTTTTATGAATTGTTTTTTCTTTAGTTAGTCATTTTATATACTAACAATCTTAAAATAACATATTTTTTTCCTATTATATAATACAATACCACAACGGCTTGATCTGTTTTTCTTGTGCGGTTGTGAAACGTGATGATGTGATGATGCGTGTGAGTTTGCTATGTTATCAATAAGTAACTCATACCACCCATATATAATGTAGTCCCTTACTCTCTTTTTCATTCGTTTTTCTTTCCTATTATTATCATGAACACTGTTTATTTTTCTGTACGTTAGTTATACACCAATACCAGTTGACTGGATATATGTATATGTTAGCTAATCTATGATTTATTATATCATAGACTATTTTCTCTATTAGAATAGATTATAATCATAGAGTTCTGCTGCCTTTGACATGAGTATGAGTCGAATTTTGAGTAAATCCACTATAATAGAAAATCACTACGTCTGTTAAAAATTCGACGTATGCTTACGCTAAGGACATCATAACTATATGTTTATAATCTACTCAAGCCAAGGAAACTTTCGATGATATCACACACTATAGACTAGTTAATATATACATAACTATTTTATACCTAAATCACTGTATGTTATATATACCTTTTGTATGATAATGTCTCATGTAGTATAGTGAAAATGAATAGTAAGAATGGTAGTAATAGTACTTCTTTCGTTTGGTATTATCATATTGAAATGAAGCGTATTGGATACCAGTCACAGTCAACGGACAAAAAAAACATTTATAATAGTATATGATCACTATTTTCAAGGATGAAAAATTCGGATCTATGATTACTTTTTAGAATTTTGAAGTTTGATTTTCTGAGTCAGAAGGAGATGTTTTTCCTTCACTAAGGTGGTTTATATAAAGGAAAATAATTTGTATGCGTCTTTATTTATCATGGGGTTAAAAGTGAAACGTCAAGTCTCAGTTATACCTTACATCGGAATAAGATCGCCCTGTTTTTCCTTCGTGCAAATCTCGTTTACTCCAATTGTTTGGTGTTGGTCGAACGCAGGTTTGGATCGAAATGATCAGTTTTGCCTCGGAGATTAGATCCAATGAGCATTTTCAGTGCTTGGAGATTTAGTGAATCGTATGTTTCACTGATATCAAACCCGTATACAGTGACTGAAAAGAATATTCTTTTAAACTGTGATAAGTGTCAATTCCTAAAATGATTTTTTCTTACTCTTGAAAGTTCGTTTTTCTGTAACAAGAGAAAGATAGACTTTTTCGGTTTCCGTTATAAATGAGAAAATCGAATGTAGATCTGAGCATATGAGATTTGAGCGAGAGTTAGAGTATCTCTCTTTCACCTTCGCCTTTGCTCATACCTACACTCAATTATCACAACAACAATTAAAAAGCATAAAAATGTTTGATCGTCTCCTGTTTTCAAATGTAAATGAAAGTAGCCAGGAAATTAATAGTAGAGATATTCATCATGATTCCTACGTAAGAGGATAGTTTCAAATGTATTTTGAAAAAGAAAAAGCACTCAAATATGTTCATCTATTAGTCAATCTCTGAATATTTCCCAATAGTTTGACAGTCTCATCAAATTATATAGTAAACGGCAAGACCTGTCGTATATCATGGAGAAGAATACTAGTAATAAGCCTGCATGAATATGATAAATAAAATTTTGGCGTCTCAGATAACAGAAACTCCAATTTTGATTTTCTAGTTAATATACTGACAAAGAATTTAGTTTACTGGAAGTTTTGATTTCAAGTTTTGAAGTACAGATTTTGTTTTCTTTATCTTCTTTATATGTTTTGAAGATTTTTATACATTACTTATTTTACATAAATAATTAATCGATATTATTCGATCTATTTGTCACCGATGTTTTCACGTACGAAACTAGCAGCGGCTGTAACAAAAGGATCGACTGTGCAGAGAGAACAGCGGCTTCCGATTTCACGTCGAACAGAAGGTATAGCATCGTTTGGTCAACAAAGAATTTGGTTTCATGAACAATTATACTTTCATGCTTCCGATCTATCTGTCTACAATATTGTAGTTCCATTAATAATCAAACAAGGCTCACTCTCAGTTCAACGTATACGCTCGGCCTTACGTTCAGTAATTGAACAACATACAGTTCTCCGTACCGCTGTTCGTTTTAATCCAGTAACGAATCAGATTGAACAATATATACAACCTGTTGCCGATGATATTTACTTATTCCAACATTCACGAGGAATATCGACAGCGGAACAACTGGATAGCCTATTAACAGATGAATCCATTAGCAAACATTTTGATGTAGAGACGGGAAGAGTCGTAAAATGCCACCTAGTAGAGCGAGGTGATGAAAAACATGATCATTTATTACATGAAAATGATCTTATTGTTTTTACTATCCATCACATAGCATTTGATCTCACCTCAAGCAAGTCATTCGTTAAAGCATTTAAGCACGCATACTGGAATGACGCACATCATCAGTCAACATTATTGGTTTCACAGTATATAGACTTTGCTCAGTATGAACAGGCAATGCTAGCTGATACAAATTCCAATTCAAAAATGAATAAGGCACGTCGATTTTGGTCCGATCTTATGCATGGTTATGACTGGAATCGAATACAAAGCTTGGCGCCTAACGAAAGTAAACATGATCAAACTCGTTCTGGTCGTGGTTATTCGACTGTATTTTCCTTTGATCAACGAGTTGTCGACAACATGATGATGTTTGCTTCATCCAATAACATTACTATGTTTTCACTATCATTCGCCTCCTTCTATGCATTCTTATTTAACTTACTCAATGATGAAGATGACCTATGTGTAGCAAGTGTTGCAGCTAATCGCTTTAATCAAGAAACAAAAGAAATGATCGGGATGTTTGTTAATATTCTACCATATCGAATACAAGTTGAGCCAAATAAATCATTTAATCATTTCGTGCAAAAAGTGCAACAATTAAGTACTGATATTCTGGAACATGCGTCTCTACCATACCAAGAGATTATTACTCTATACGATAAACAAAAACATCAGAGATTGCCTTCAACATTCTTTCAATATGTCTCTTTAATGTCATCTGTGACACAAAAGACTACAGCGGAATTAACTTTAGATAAAGATTCAATTATTGGCCTATACCATGACCGAGATCGAAGTCACAGTAATGGATTAGCTACATTCGATATGAGTGTAACAATAGCACATGAACATCATGCGCGAACTACAGAATGTGTTATTGACTGTGCAGTTGAAGTCTTTGAGAATCAGGCTATTGTTAATGAACTTGCAAACCGCTTTCAATATATGCTTACACAACTCTTTTGTTCTTCCATGATCGATGAACCTATCTATAAACTATCCATTGTTCTTTCAAATGATGAAAATCTTATTCATCAATTCGACAACGCGCATATAGCTTCGTCTGACTCATGCACAACTACCATTCAGGAATGCTCAGAAGTCAAAAATCAAATGTCGATGACTGCTGCAAGTTTATTTTGGTTTAATACTCTTCGTGATTGTCATCTCGATCAATCTTTATCATTACCATATGATCGATATCGTCTTATGAATCAACATCGAACTGATCAGACAACATCAATCTCTTTTGATTTTGGCCAAGATCTTTCACATCATTTTCTTACCTATGCATCATC